GTTAATAACGCCAAGGACGTGGCGTAGTGAGTGGCTTTAACAACGCCACTGCCTAGTTCACACACAAAGGCGTACGCTACGCCAGGCTTAAGCCAGCCTTACGCCGTGTGTGTGAACATAGCCATAGAAGCAAAAGTGCGTAATTAGGACCTACACCAATCATTTTGAGTTTTATATTACATGAAAGGGTATTCAATATACTTTATTATTTCGGCCGAACCCTCTTGACATCTCATCTGGTTTTTATCTGAGACTTGATTTAGTGAGGTGACCTCTTCTAAATCAACACAAATCATGCCCATTTCCTATTCTACAAGGAAGAGAATGCACTTTTTCAGTTCAAAAGTGCGTATTCCAAATATCTGAGAAGGTGATTGTATATAGTATCATTCGAAAGTAGATGAAATTTACTTTCAAATACCGTGCGAACCCATAGGAAAAGTTATTACACTGGACAACTGTGGCCGAATTTATCCCATTGTGTGCAAAATTCTAGGCTCTGTTCCTGTGCTTAACGGCGTGTGCGTGGGCGTGGCAACGCAGAAGCGACAAAGTTTTCCATATGTATATCTCAGAAATGCAGTAAGTTTTGTTATGTAAAATATGTGTGAAAATATTATGTCTAGCATGTCTGCAGATGAAGAATGTAACCAACTTCACGGTGGCAAAAGTGATCCCTGATCGAATACCCATTTTCATCTGAAAAACACACAAAGATTAGAGTATTTCAACAGTTTATTACTTTTATTAACATCAAATAGCTGAGTGCATTTGGAAAAGTGGCAATACATACATACATTGCAGTATGCATTATTGACGGTATTCTATAAAACCTCTATGTAGAATAGTCCAAACACAAATACAAATGTTTATGTACAAACTCCAGTAATATTAGTTCCACACAACACAGCATAACAAACTTATTCAGCAATATGGATCAAATGAATGGTAGTGCAAAATATAACTGCTATGATATTTTCCCAATTCAAAATCACATAGAAATAGCATTTGTAAGTATAACATAAACACAAGCTCCGTAGTTTAGTGGTTTTGGCAACAGACTAGTTACCTGGATTCTCACCCAAATAACATTTTTTTGCAAGTATTCGATACAACAGTGGGTCACCTACATATCTATTGCTAATTACAGCTGCCTAGACCCAAGTAAATTTGACAAGCAGACTACTAATTATGTCATTAAATTTACATAAAAAAAAAATTTGCTAGTTATTTGGACCGGTATCAAAAGCACAATTTTAGATAAGTAGACTGGAGCCACTATCACTGCTGCCTAGATCTACAGCGAAATTTGTAAAGCACACTCCATAAATTATCACCGAGATGCAGGGAAGTATGCCGGTGGTTAATAATTAATTTATTAAACTATAACTCTTCAATTAAATATTATTTTAAAGCAGATGGATTTTTTTTAATGTTTGGTTATTCTTCCCAAAAGGGACAGCAACTTCGGGGTCGACTTTAATTGATCGTCGTGACCCACCAATACCTTTTGGATGAAGGTCATAGTCACTCAAATTTTTGGAGGATAGGCAATGTTAAACACAAAATAACAGGTTATCAGTAGGGCAACAGCTTCAATAAAAGAAGATACCTCCCCTAGCATCTCTTCTTCTGCCCATACAGAAAATTGCTTACAGTCAATGAGGGGGCCAGTGAACACAATGACAGGGAATGTCTTCCTAGAAGCTGTTCCGGGTTCTTCATGAATTAGAAGCTTGATATCTTCGTTTAGTTGAAATGGAAGACTCAAAATCCCCAAACAGTAAGCAGCATCTGCCATGAAAAAGTTACAGATGTGAACAAAAAATGTAATTAGAAAAACAGATACAATAATAATTTGTATTTCTATATTATAAATATTTAGAAAATGTAATACGTTATGCAGATATTATTCTTGCCAACTATTTATGTGTGTATATATATATGTATAATGTGTGTGTATTAGAATTGAAATCACATGAGTTGCTTTTGTTGACAGATTATAATATTTATTTATGACCGCCAGATGAGAAGGGTAATATGTATACCTGTATACAAAAATTAAAAACCTAGACCAGTGTCTGTAGAGTTTAAAACGAATTGTGGTGGTAGTTACAGTATCTTAAATGACTGCAAAATATCACTCAAGTGTTTTAAAATCTGCACAAGTAAAAAAACATTTGGCATTAATGTATTTTACATTTAATTGTTAATAATCTAGTAATGGTATGAAAACTGATTATGGGGTAGAAAATCCTTAATTCATTTATAAAATGTTATGCAACTATTATTTTTATCGGTCTTGTGAAGACATTAACAATGGCTAATATTTGATATAAAATAATGTGTATATCATTTGATAAAAAAAAAAAAAAATAGCTGGTCACTTTCATGGCATCGGTTGGCATTATCATCCAGTTGTATTATGTTTTTAGATAAATAAAAAAACGTAAGCCGCAGTAGCATCTGAAACATTGCAGGTATTTTTATTGAGTAAATTTCATTAATTACTAGTTGATGTAAAGAAAATGATTTGTTGTTGTTACCTTAAATGAACTAGTAAACGATGTAGCATTTTGGAGGTTTTGTACATATTCATGAACAGCGTTGATTAATTCTTGAAGTGTTTAATTGGTACTATATGAGGTGTTTGTCCTCTCTGAAAGGCTTATCTGACTTGTTGCAGAATAATTATTAGTTTTTATTGAAAATCGGTTGTTTGATTATACATCTTACACGAAATATCAAAGCGAGTCACATTATAATAAACACCACAACTTTTACTCAACATGTATTACACTATATGCTCTGTACGTCTTATACTAGAATGGCGCTTAACAAGAAAACAAGTTTTTGGTGGTTTATTTTGGAGCAGTGATTAATCGTGAAGGGCTCTTATTACTGTATAATCATTTTGTTATCGTCGCACCCTACGTCGTCATTGGTGTCATCATTATCATTAGGCTTTTTATTAATGTCATTATGATTTGTTATTTATGTATTAACATTAATAATAATATTATTGATATTTATTTGTGTATAGTTTGCAATTTCACACGTATGTACAGTATATATTTTGTATATTTGTATTTGTAACATTATATATATATTATTTAATTAAAATAGTTAAAAATGACGACCGGGGCATATTATATAATAATAATAATAATAATAATAATAATAATAATAATAATAATACAGTAATAATAATTAATATTTAAGCATTTATATAGCCCTATTTAACGAAGTGTCACAGCGCTTAAAACAAGTATTTATGACTACATCTGCTTTAAATTACTTTGATTGTTATAGTTTATACGAGATTGTAAAAAAAAGGTCATAAAATGTCCGCCTGTTTGTATGTATATTATTTAGCGTAAAAGTGGTTAGTACAGAAATACGTGTGAACAATAATTAGTCTGCCAAAAAATGTCAGGCCAAAGATTCCCGACGAAAGGTCGAAGTTCCCGTCGAAAGGTCCATAATCCATGAAATGTATCAACACACACATAACCATTGTTAGAACAAATTTTATGAATATGCACTTCTAGATTTTCGGAGTTGGTACTCTCAGATTTTCCTTTTTTCTTTAGTGTTATGTTTTTAAAGCAGCGTGAAATTGAACATGTAAAATTTAGACAATAACAATTTGGAATATTAAATGGTAGGCTATTATACCGAAGTATGCTTTATTATCGTAAGCATCATTAGCAATATAATTTTTGTAATAAAGTACAATGATATTGTTCGTAATTATAGCATGTTTATTTGTTGGGTTTCATTGAATATAATTTACAATTAACTATGCGATGAATAGTATATTTTACATCTGAGCATTGGTTGCCAGGATGAATTATTTGTTATACCTATTTAATTTTAATACTAAGTTGCGGATTAATTGATGGAAATTGGTCAATAAAATATTCATTTTTCCTTCAAATTGTGTGTATCTCTTCTTTTTTGTTTATTTCTACATTGTATTCTATCGGCGCTATGATTTTGTTTTTCGTGTTATTTATATTTACTTAAATCGCATCTTCAAATTTAATGTGTTAGTTTATACACAGAATTGTGGCAATTATCAAAATATGATAGACATGAGGATGATATGACGATGACGGGGACGGTTACATATGATATGATGATATGTCATGCTCAAGTACTATACACTAAAACCGACGTTTACACGGTTAACATACAGTCGCCAATTGGCAATGCCATCATCGGACGAAGCAAAGATTTTAATTAATCGATGCTGAATGAATAGAGAAAATCTGATTGGGATAAAGGTTGAAGAAGAGGTGGATGCATTCATTCTAAAATTCCACAAGATAAGTTAAATCTGAATGTTTTGAAGGGGAAGATATCAATGCTACTCTAAAAACTGAGCCAGAGCAAATTACTTTTATACAATTTATTATTCCAATACAAAAAGTAAACAGTAAACGACATTTAAAAAACAATACATTGCAATGCCATATCATATTATTATGAATTGGAAGTGTTTCATTTTATTGGTTTTACTTGTGTTTGAAGATAGTGATAGTCTTTCTATCCCGGACGGGCAAAAGTTAGGCTCTTTCATTGTAATACACAGCTATCAACTCTCAAGACTTCTAACCCCCTCTTCTAGAAAAAAAAAAAAAAAAAAAAAGACAACTTCAAATTACTCAAGCTTATAGTGTTCGTTCAGTTTGCAGAATTTTTATGAAAGTTTTCAAAACATTGTCTAACTGAATTATTGCACAGCGGAACGTTGTCGCACTGAGCACAACCGAAGTAAGTCTCGTGTCTCAAAATATTACGCAAGCAAACTTGACAGCGACGTTTGATGATAAAACCTTCGGTCCTTAAATCAACAATAACGTGTTCATGAGAAGCGTTCACACGCATAGAAAGTGCAGCAGCAGGTCGCCCCACTCTTTGCCTCGAGGAAAAATCTCCCATAAGCTGTTCTGCAAGGTAATAACGGAACATTATAAGTGAAGTCGGTGGAACTTTGTTTCTGAACTGCCATTCTTTGTGAATGATGTAGGCATTGGTGACAGTTGTGTCGAAGATGTGCCAAAACAGTCTCATATGCCAGCGTCTTGACTTCCTATCCACACAGTAGTATGATCTGAGCTGGTCAGCCCTATCCACTCCTCCCATGTACATGTTGTAATCGTAACAGGCTTGAGGGCAGGGTACCTCACCTCTATTTCCTTTCTGATCAATTGTGCGAATGACTGCAGTTAATGGCAAATCTCCTGAATGTGCGCTGCTGAGAAAGTAGATTAGCTTGCGATCCTTCCAGGCATAGCTACAGAATCCGTCCTTGTGTTTTGAAAGGTGCGATTCACCACGAGGCATATCATTCGCTGAATATTTCAGATTTACGATTTCGGTTGGTAAGCCTTGGCGGTCGTGTTGAACAGTCCCACAGCAATACATACCAATTCTCTTTAAATCTTTTAGGAGGGGTACAGAGGTAAAGAAGCGGTCACAATAAAGGCGGTGGTAGCAGTGATGCAAGTTATGAGTTATTAGGCCTTTGACGACTCTAAAACCCAGATCTCTATTATCTGGATTTCCGAACCTTCCCATGTAGACGTTAAAGTTGTAGACATAACCTGTCATTGAATCCGCGAGCGTCCACACCTTAAATCCTCGCTTGGTAGGCTTTGAAGGGTCGTACTGTTTTCCGCTACAAATTAACAAAACAGAAATATATTTTTATAGTTTTTATCTACCGACAGTGTAGTCTTAACTATAATAATAATAATAATAATAATAA